AATGTATAATGTTATGAGATTTAAGCCATTTAGTCTGAACATTTATGTTTTTGTGTTATAATCTGTATTCATTCTAAAATGAAAGAGGCATAATATAAATTTATTTCCTAATTTTTATGGTGGTTGCAAGATCGGTCAAATCTACCGAACCTGTACAGAGATTAATTATTGAAAACAACAGATAAAATATAAAGTTTTTTCTTAAGAAACATTTGATAACTATCTTGACGCTATAAAGATTTCAAATATGAAATTTCGAAATTTTCTGATGCATAAAAGTATTTTTAATCTTAAAATGAATATTACTTTGCATGATAGATAGACAAGATGCAAAAAGAAAAAAATAGACATGAGAAAATCATTGCTTCAAAAACCTTAAGACTTTATAAAAAAAAAATGATATTTTGCATATGACAGCATTGTAATGTTTACTGATAATCTGCCAAATCTTGTTAACATTTGTTTACTAATTTAAAAGTTATAGCAGGAAAACTATATCAAGCACAAAATAGTTACGAGGTCAGCCCCAGGGACCAAGCCCATGCTGAAATAGTTAATCTTGTTTCCAGCTTCTGGTAGACTACAATAAATGATAAAAACAGAGCCAAGAATGTTTTTAGCATTTGAAAAGGCTTAAACAAGTTTCCTTTCACAATATGTAATGTACCAGCTAATTTCATGCAGGTGATGAAACTCACACTTTGTAATTTCCAAAGGTGCCTTGTATAGTATATATTAACATTTTAGTGATTATTCACACATTTCAGGCTTCAGCTGAGTATGGTATTTCACTGCTCAAAACAAACAGGCTTGGAATTGAAGATAAGAAAAATGTCATCTCAATCAAACACATATTTTTTGGACATATTGTGACTGGGGAGGACAGTCTTCAGATCCTGCCAAAATGAAAGCAATGATAAATTGGCATAAGCAACAAATAAGAAAGCAACATTAAGCTTCCCATGCTTTGTTTCATATAATAGATGCACTGTGGCCAAATTTCTACTACAGGAGTACCAATTTCTGCATAAACAAAGGTTGAATGCCTTTTTAAATGGACAGGGGACAGTGTAAAATCATTCCAGTCCCTAAAATATGCCTTTGCAGATGGACAAGTATTAGAATATCAAAGCAGCTCTATCTCAAGTGCAGGATGGAGTAGTGCGTTACCACATATGCAAGCTGAACACTAACATCCACGAAGTGCCACTGCTGCAGAACCAACAAAAAATTAACTACACACAGTTGCAGAATTTATTAAGTACTTTCGCATCTATTTGTAAGGTAGAGATTTAATAACTAAAACAAACCATGAATCACTAAAATGACTAACGTAATTTAGAAAATCAAACAGTATGACAGCATATTGGGTAACAGTGTTGAAGGAGGTACAATCTCACTGTAGAGCACTAATTAGGTCAGTAGCATGAAAACACAAATTACTTCTCATCAGCAGAAAAAAAAAGCTTGCTTGCTTGTAGTGTCAAGATCCTAGATATAAATCTGTAGTGAAACCTAAAGTATGAGCCACAATAATGAAGCATACAAGTTGTGAGAATTCCACTAATGAGTGAATACCTAATATATAGTTGCAAGAATGTTCACAAGAATATATTAAATTGTTAAAATCCACATAAGGTAACATGCACAAGTTTGCACATTAAAAGAGAGAGAAGATAGCCAAGAAACAGAATAACAGGCATAATAACACGGTGAAAACACATCAGTTCAAGTGCACCTCTAGTATACACCTACAGCACAAACCTTTCATATCCAACTAGGATACTAGGCCTTATCTTGTGCTGTGGTGCCTCAATCCATCAAACTAAAATGGATTGGTCTTATGGCAAGCAAAAGTACATAGAACACATTTACAAGCTGGAATTCTATGTTCCTGAGAAGGCTTTCAAAGACTAGTATAATCAGAAGAAGAATTAGCAAGTCAAAGCTGCAGATGATAATGAGGGCACCGCTGACTACTACTATGATCTGGAAGAGGAGGATGAAAGTGATCCCGGAGATTCCCTGGTTCTCCATGAAGAACTAGAAGAAGGAAAATCACCCAAAAAGACTGATGCACTAAGATATCTAATCAAGTAGCTACAAGTTGTTATGGCTTAGAAAGTGAGTGACAAACCTCACATAGAGAGTTGTAACCCTTATTTCTTTAGTAAAATAGTTATCAGATAACACAGGCCTGCAATGGTTTAATTGTCTTGAAATGTTTACATATTCTACAATAATTCCTGTATGCTGAATCTGAAAATGATATACATTTTTCTCCATCACATAGAGATTTTTCACAAAACTTCATATGTACTTTTACATAAGTGAATCATTTTCATTGAAATTGGGTCACATTTTGTTATGCTTAAAATGTTGACATTCACTGGCTATAGATTTCTCTAGACCAATCGCGACGCGAGAGTTATCAATCATTCTAAAACCCATGAGAAACATACTGCGAGTATTCAAATTCGATGACGAGGAACCCACTTTGAGACTAATAATGGCTGGAGATGGCTTGAGTGGG